TTATCACATTTATAATGGCTATTATTATATTATACAATGTAGTAATACAATAATATATAATGATAAAAGAGTATTGAATTTCAATAAAATTTTATCCTTAAATTGTACCTCAATTGAATCATTGTTTAATATTTGCAAGAAATAATTCCTAATCATTCAATGTATGTTTTTAGTTTTAGAGTTCTATCTTTTTTATTGTAATAACTAACCATTTGATGTATATTATAGTAACCGTTCTCTCAAGTAGAAACTTTATTAGACTGATGCATTAGTGTCATATTGAAGTTAAATTACTCAAGGTGTAAATAAAATAAGAAATATTGTGTATTGGTTTCTTTTTTACATTTTAAATACTTCTGTTTTATATTCTTATTGGTAGACAGTTGTTGTCTTAATCATTTGGCACTCTCGAACAATTATGTTATGTGTGCTCCATCTTCCTCTTTATAAAAAGAAAACTATTAGTCAAGAGGAGGAAATGAGACAAATTCGAAGAATATTGTTTGTTTCTTAAGATTTGGATTATATTTCTTTTGATGCTTGATAATCCTCAACATGAGACAGGCATCCCCAAAATGTTTACTGTTGCTAGAAATACTGATACTGGTGCTTGACGGGGGAACTACTCCGGCAAGCAGCCTATCAAGGTCCCTTTTGCCAACCTCTTATGACTACCTAGCGGTTGCCACATATTTACCAGAGTGGGAATGTAATTGGGGGTGGGGTGGCCCAATGGGCTAACGCGTGTGCCGACTGCCAGATAACCAAAGTTATGAGATTTAAAAAAGTACGAGTTCGCATCCCGGTGCTGGAGGGGATTTTAAATTCTCCGCCCTCACCCTCCGGCCTGGGAAAATGTCAAGATCCATTTCAGATGGTCTATCCAAACAGAAATTGTCAGAACCAATCATTGTGGGACCCATATCCCAATAGCTGGGCCATCCCATTCTCTTTGCTAGAAATAACTATTTCTTGTGAAATCTATTACTTATGGTATCTAACATGACCTGACTAGACCAAATTTTCTTTTATTAATTGCAACCATTCTATTTATTTATCATGATATTCACAAATTGGTAAATTATTAGAGTTCCCATTATTGTAATTGTACCTGTAATATTGATTAATTAATTAGTTATGTGTTTTCTACTTAAATAAAAATTAGCTTCATTAGTTATCATTCAACGTTTGACATTAAGGTGCTGTAGGAAATCAAACTAAGCTAGATAGAGTAGAGAGGTATGTAATATATGGGATAGATTGGTTTGGTTTCCTATTGACATCAGACTATTACCATTAAATCTAAATTTCCAGTCCATTCCTTTTCCATTCCTCTACCCTTTTATATATATACTTTATACTTTTTATTATATATATACTTTTTTTTTTTTGGCTCTCCTTTATGATCTCTTGTCCATGATTTAGGTATTCATTGTTGTGGTGTAGAGACTTCTTGTTGGATTGCTTGGTACTTTCAGGAGATAGGTATATGAAAGAGATAGCATGATTTGGTTCTTTACTGGTACAAGAGTCATTCCCATGTTTCTCTGTGTACAGATAACCCTGTTAAATATAAACTCTTATGATTTAGGATTTCTGGCAAATCTGTTAGATTAAATTACTTTTTGCAAAATCTTTTCAGGTGTTATGTGTGCTTAAAAGAAAATCACTTATAAATTACTCAATATTTGTCTAAATTGGACAATGAATAGATTTATTGTAATAGTAGTTATGCTTTTATAACTAACTAGTTAATTAAAATTTTGCTTTTATTGAATGCAGAAAGAAAATAAAGCGTAATGATTCAAAATCTTATTTCGTTGGTATATTGCAAAAATTCATTAAATGACATTTCATAACCTAAAATAATTAAGAACTTTATTGAATTTTCTCTTTGTGAAGTCAGTGAAAAAACCACTGACCTCTATCGTCAAAAGAGGAAGGAGGTTAAGAAACTTTGCATAAGAAAGAAAAGGACAAAGGAGAATGAGAGGGTTGGAAAGTTGGAAGACCGTTACAAGGCCACAGAAACAAGGATATTTTATAAAGGTAGAAAAGAGTTCCAGAATGGATTTACTACAAGCTTCGACTCCTTAAGGGATGAGCAGGATAAACTACTTCATGGCAAAGAGGAAGTTTTGGGTAGGTGGCAGAGATATTTTGAGGAAGTATTAAGAGTGGAAGAAAAGGTCCAACACTCGATAGGCACAAGACTCCATTTAAAGGAGGAACTGGTAGAATAATTGAGATTATCTTGGGCCTTAGAAATAATAAGGCCCCAGGAAGGGATGGTATAGAATAGAATAGAAGAAGAAGAATCAACTTTATTCTCAACTTAAGTATACCTGCAGAAATGCTTAAATATGCAGGAGAGGACATCTGGGAGGATATGTACCAGATTACATTTGATGTATATACTACCAAAAAGATGCCAGAAGAAGGGCTAGTCTGTCTGATATACAAAAAGGGGAGCTGGACAGAATGTAGAAATTGTCACGGAATATCCCTCCTTTGAATTGTTTACAAAGTACTTTCTATAGCGATCAGCAGGAGATTAGTAAAATGGGCTGAAAAAATACTAGAAGAATACCAATGTGGTTTTAGACCAGGTCGTTTTACCACTGATCATATATTCTCACAAAGACAAATTCTGAAGAAATCAAATGTGTTTAGTGTTACTCTCCAACATGTAAAAAAAAATTTGAAAGTTAACTCTATATCAAAAATGAACTTAGTGATTTTCGTTTCCTGTTGGCATCCGATGTTAGGTTTGTGTGTATAGACATAAAATTTTTAAAATTCTGTTATGTAAGGCAAGACATTTGGTGTTCTGTTAATATAAATTAAGTTTATGGAGATTATAATTAGGGGATAAATGAATAAATATTCATCAAAATTGATAAGTTCGAAGAATTTCTGACATTGTAATTATGGAGTTTTATCAATTTTTTACTCAAGAAATAAATCCATCCTGTGGTTGAATATAAAAAGGTCTCATAACATCCCTCAGTGGGGGTGAACAATTAATTTTAAGGTGTTGTGCAAGCCATGCTCTCATGGAATAACTTATCTTTGATGATCCTCACCCCTCAGTTTCCAAGTTGCATTACAGAGGACACCATGCTGATGGAACATTTTATGAATGTCCATCTCATCAATGTTTGACTTATTCGAACTAAACTTTAAATATTTTCTTTTATTACTATTTCATTCTATCCTTTCGATTGAAGAAGGATTTAGAAACTTTTTTTGTCACAAGGTATTACAATAACAAGACTTAATGACTCCATTCCATTCCATGACAAATTGGTATCTGAACAATATACTGATCCTTATTTATAATGTTAGGAAGTCATTCGATGCAAAATTGTTTCTTAATCCTTCAAACAGGAATGTTTTTTCTAGGAAGCATTATTTTGCAGTTATAAATCAATAACTGAAAAATGTTCAAATCTTCCATTTCTGTTTGGCTACCAATTCTGAAGGCATGCCAGCAAAAGCATATTTTTTTGTGCTTCTTCACAGATGTAATTGTTTCAAATAGATGAAACTATGTTTTAATGAGTCAAGTTTTTCTGCATGGGTTCCTGCTTAATTTTTGGTTAAAGAAAATATCCACATTTTAAAATAAAATTTTTTGGAGACCAATACTGTTTTGAAATCTCATTACTGAAAATTGATAATGTGAGAATTACCCCTAACTATTGGAAGCACAATCTTAAGACTTAGGGCTGTTTCTACTCCTTGTGGAAGCAATATCTTCCCGTTTTTTACCTTTTGCCAGCTGTACTCATTGATAATAGTTAAGCCTATTGAAGGCTTATAAGCATATTGTAGCACATAAATTGTGCCCTATAGAAGAACAAATAATTAAGAGGAGTTGGTTGGGGGGTGCGGTCAAATAAATACTAAATTTTTAAAATAGTATTTTAAAAATTTAGTATTTATTTGACCGCCCTCCCGCCACACCCCAACCAACTCTTCATATTATATCATGGTAAACCATCTCTACATCATTAACAAATAATTAAGTTTAAAATAGCAGCAATGATACTTAGGTTTTTGGAAATTGCTGAACTGTGCATTGACCTCTATAAAATTCAAATGATTTTTATGACATTTTGTAAAAAGGTTTATTTTTCAACTTTTTTAATGTTAGGTTGATTTTTTTTTAATTGATTTTATTTTGTTGAATAGTTGCTCAGGGTTAAAATAAGGTTGAAAAAGCTCACAATGGTCTTTCCTTTATACAGGTGTAAAACTCTATTTATGAATAAAAATTATGTACATTAAAGTCATAACAGAGTTTGCAATAAATTAATAACATTATATTACATTATTAACATTGCAGTTTAGACCTACTCATTAAAATTAAAACGAGATTGAACGTTGTATACAAACAGTATTTTACAGTAATGTACAAAATAAATATAGAATATTACAATTTAATTCATTCTATTTACATATTTTCGGGTAAAGTGAAACTATGGAAATCATGTATGTGGGAAGTGGAAGACATACTAAGCATAGTAAGTAATATAATTATTAACATTATTTCTGCAATATTATTCAACAGAATTGGATGTATGAGTAATGAATACATTTACTAATAAATTATAAATAAAGTAGTCTAGAAATAAATAATCTATAATACATCTAATTTGGTACATAAAATTATAAAAAAAAGTTAATTCATAAGTTTTAAATTATATACAAATGAACATTATTCCCATGACAGTTGAAAGCATTTGTAGTGATATCATGATGTCATATTTATTATAAGTTATAAACTATATCTAATGAAAATTTTACATATTTTTAAATTTTAGTGGTATAGACTAGGAATACAAGTGTGATTAAAACAAAGCTATAAATACGCCCTAACAAACTATTGCATGGAATTTTTCAATTTCATCTTTCTTTAAAAAATAGCAATACTAATACAGTCTGATGAGGTTACATAATCTGTTTATGGAAAATGTTAGTGATGCCTTGTTTATTTAAACTTGTTTCACTCTGCTTCTGCTGCCGAATTGTCTCTCTTCGCTTAACCTTCCAGTCAGGCCTCCCGTTTCTCCTCCTCCACCACCTTTAACCATAATTTAACTAGATTTTTACTAGAAGATGAACTAAAATTAGAAAAAAAAAACAACTTATTCATATTTAAAATAACAATCTTAATAATAAACTTATTAAAATTTTAGCTTATTATTATATATTTAAAAAAAAAAGATTATTTAAGCCAATTGAAAAATGATATTTAAATTTCAAATAAGTTTATAAAATTTGCCTTTAACTTTACTATTAATTTTCATATTTTGAACTTCATAATATTCATGTTGATTTTAAAAATAAATTCTGTTAAATTAAATAAAAGCAAAGAATGCCTAAAAAACAAATATCTGTCTGCAACTAATATCTATCTATCCTTCTACTACAGATTTTATATCTAAAAAAAATACTATTTCTTTTCTTGATTTTTAATAAATCCTGACAGCTTAATAAATCATCTTTTTAATTACTATATTACTTTACAATAATTTTCTATTTCAAAGTTATCCACTCATTATAAATAACTTAAAAATTGTAAATTTTTAATTCATGCGTCTTAATGAGAGAAATAAGTCACTACTAAAGAAAAAAGTCCTAATCATGCACTAAAGGTCTAAATAATGAGCATTCCGGTTCAAAAATCTTTAAAGGCTTTTTCAAAAATTATTGATTCAAAATAAAAATAAAATGAAAATGTTAATAAATAGAAAGAGTAAAGTAGTAGAGTACTGCAGACTAGTTACTCCTCGCATATTTTCAAATTTCAAGCAATTTTTTTACTCAAGCCACAACACTACTTAAAAAATGAGTTAGTCTCATCACTTTTATCTCTCTTACCTATTCTTAAATTTGTTTCTGAACTTTTTTCTCCTTGATTGCTTGAGAAGGTGGGGGTAGTTGTGCAAGTAAAAGCCGTGAACTAAAGCGAAAGCATGACATAAGCTGAGGTTAAGAAAGCTTGGATACATTTTTTAGAGGGTTGAATTTACATTAGTATTAATAATTATAGGCCCATTACCAAGGTGTATGGGGTGCTGAAAGTTTGTGCATTTTAAAAAATGTTAACGTGGTGTTCACAAGATAGGTGATCTAATTTTTTATATGGGCTTCGTCAGATGAGAATAGAGCAGAAGAGTTTGCTAAACATCTATCGTACACATTCACTCCTCATCCTGAACTCCATCCCTCCCATACTGCTGAAGTTAAAGAATTCCTCTCTTCATCGATTCCTCTCTCCTTACCTCCCACAGCCGTCAACCCCTCTGAGGTCAAATTCCTTTTAAAGAACCTAAAACCTCGCAAATCTCCAGGACACGATCTCCTTACTTCCCAGATCCTCAGACAACTTCCCAAAAAAGCAATTATATTCCTTACATATCTATTCAACTGTATCCTCCGCACAACCCACTTTCCCCTGGTGTGGAAACACTCCATAATTATCCTCTTTCCTAAACCAAGTAAACCTGTTAATTATACATCATCCTATAGACCGATAAGCTTACTTCCGATCCTTTCCAAAATCTTTGAGAAAATCCTTCTCAAACGCATCCTACCCATACTCGAATCCCACAATATCCCTTCTCATCAGTTTGGATTCCGCTCAAGACACTCCACTGTCCAACAAGGCCTTCGCGTTGTGGACCACATATCCTCTGCACTTGAAAACAAGCAATATTGCACTGGTGCCTTTCTGGACGTAGCTCAAGCTTTCGACCGGGTGTGGCACGATGGCTTGCTTTTCAAGCTCAAAACCCATTTACCTCAACCCTTGTACCTAGTCCTCAAATCTTACCTTTCAAATCGCTCCTTTCAAGTCCGCTGCGGCACTGAACTCTCCAAACATTATCCAATTGAGGCTGGTGTTCCACAAGGCAGTGTCTTGGGCCCAGTTCTCTATATCCTTTTCACCGCTGACATCCCTTCAAGTCCTGATACCTTCCTAGCAACATTTGCTGATGATACTGCCATCCTATCCTCCCACTCGGATCCTCTAATAGCGTCCCAGAACCTGCAAAGACACCTTTCCTTCATTGAGCAGTGGTGCAACAACTGGCGCATCAAAATTAATGAATCAAAATGCAAGTATGTAACTTTCACTCTTCGACGCAGATCCTGTCCGCCAATCCTTTTTAATTCAATTCCTCTTCCCTACTCAGACACAGTCCGATACCTTGGCTTCCTTCTGGACAAAAGACTGACTTGGAACCCACATACGAGACTTAAAAGACAAGAGCTTAACCGACGATTTGGTCAGCTATATAGACTACTAAACAGAAGATCTCATCTCTCAACAGAAAACAAATTATTAATCTACAAGACCATACTGAAACCTATCTGGACCTACGGACTCGAACTGTGGGGGACAACTAAATCATCGAATATCAAACGCATCCAATCCTTCCAGTCCAAAGTCCTTCGAACAATAGTCAATGCTCCATATTATGTCACGAACAAGACCCTACACCATGACCTTAACATCCCATATGTCCATGACATCATCCCATCCAGATTCTCCAACTTTCACCAGAACCTCATTCATCATCCCAATCCTCTAGCGCAATCCCTATCCAGCTCCGAGCATCCATACCATCCCCCTCGAAGGTTGAAACGGCAGTGGCCTCGAGATCTTTTGTAAATATGCCTTTGGAGTCCTGGCAATGGCCAGCTTCTCCACTCATGTCCTGAGCGCCTGTGGCTGTATTGCCCTCTTTCAGTCTCCACTGGCTTCTAATACTAGTGATGCGACTGGAAAAGTGGCACTGGGATCTTCCGGAGTCTTGCTTTGCCTTCCGCGTGTGGAGGTAAAAGCCTGGCTCGGAGATTCTTGGGCAAATGTATATATTGTATATAGTTATGATTGTGTTTAGAAGTTTTTATTTTATTTTATTTTTTTATTTATTTATTTACCTTCTTCATCAGTATTATTTATTTACTTCTTATATTTATATTTATTTCTTTATTATTTGTATATATTGTATGAATGAGAACTTTTAGCCCTAATGCTTATAGCCCTCCAGCAGTGGCTGATTGTATTATTATTCAATAAATAGATTTCAAAAAAAAAAAAAAAAAAATTTTTTATATTGAATTGTAGAGTGGAAGTAATTACTATTCATGATATACTATCTTATAAATAGTTACTTCTAATAGCTTAAGACTAGGCTATCGTTTCTTAATTAACTGTTGATATTTGTTATTATACATCTGTATGAATGTTATTTATACAAAAAAATATATATATCATTTTCAATTTATTTGTATCTGTTCCTCTAATTGTTATGCCATAGATACAAATAGATTGATGTAAAATAAATTTGAATTATTATAAGAAACTGTTTATATTAATAATTTGAAGATTAATCATCAAAACTAACAATCATCACTTGAGAAATGATACTTTAGTAATTTAAAAAGTGAAAATTGATTTCAAAATGATCAAATTTGAAGAAGTACTTTAAATAGTATAAGAACAAGGTTTGAAACAAGGTTTTTTATCGCAATACTTACCCTTACTACATATTACATATGTACGTAAGTGAAAGTAAAAATTGGTGAATACTAACAGCATATATATAAATTCAATTCGTTTCACAGAAAAAACAAGTTTCCCTTCAAAGGCTTTTCAGATAGTAGTGCACTCTTTTAATCAACATTCTTTCATTTTAATGTTATACAGTGGGAAAGTTATATCATCATAAAAGCCTTTACAAGGATCAAAACAATTAGGTACATAAAATAAATATCAAGAAAAAAATTATTGAATTGTAATGACATTGAATTTTTTTTTTACTTAGAAGTAGCAAGATTTTCAATAATATTGTACTAGTATCCTTAGAATTTAATGGTTGCAAAAGATCCCATGATCTCACCATAAATGGAATCCCAAGAATGGCCAAAAGTAGACAAGTGATCGAATGGTCAGCTAAGCTAATGACCTAAACTGAAGGGGACCTGTTGAGAGCTTGTTTATACCTTTTCAAGTGAAATCAAATGCATAGATATAATTGAAGCAAATTAACGCTCTGATTATAATTGAAAAGGACCAGTAGAGAATTTTTAAACAGATATCACAGAAATATGAAGCGATTACACTTCTCAATTCTTGACATTTCTCTGAAATCCATATTTAGAATGATAATGAGATCTTGGCCAAATGATCAAATCAAGTGTTACTGTTCTACAAATGTGTTATGATTTCTCAAGTGATATTTGTATTTTAATTGACTTATGTTTATTTTATAAACATCGAGAACTTACCAAAGTCAGGTACGTTATGAAACTTTCTCCTTTTTAGGGGTTTTGGCGGCGGTGAAAATGCTCCTTGGTTCCCTTGCGCAGCTGAACCGACTGTGCAATCGCCAGTGCCTTTGCAGCTTTTAAGATGTTCCAGTTGGTCATGAAGGTAGGATTTTTCTTCATTAGTTAATATATTTACTCGATTCCATTGTTCAAAGGGATCTGAAACATTTAGTAGTCTTAATAAAAGAATAAATGAATATAAATGTGGTGATGATTATAAATAAATTTAATAATAATCACCATAAAAGAATAAAATATTCTATTATCTATTCACATATACAATTGTTTACATAATTTAGTGTCTGAGATTTAAAATATTTAATCATCATTTTATTTTATAGAATATTCTCTATTATTATTATTAACCATTGTGACCTATAGTATCCTTCATATTTAACTATTTATTAATTTTTTTCTTTTATGATTTAGTGTAAAATATTATACAGTGTTTATTAGTCAAATATGGTTTTTCTGTTCTGTTTTTCTGCTTAAAACTAAATAAAACTTTGTTAATAAATGTGCAAGATCAAGTGTTAAACATTTTTCTAGCTGGTGATTATCTCTATTATAGTTGATGCAGTTGCCTGATGTCTTACCTACTCTTAGGTTGTAATACGTAATCAACCCAGTGATGAACTCGCAGTATAAAAAGTTGTGAGTAGCATTGATTGTCCTCAAACAAGAGTATGTGTTGTTATTTGCGTTCATGCAAAAACAGAATGGCCCCTCTGAAAAACAAAATAATAATTAAAATAAATTACAAATTTTTTCTTTCTAATCAATGTTTTATCAGTTATAATTTTTTTTTATTAGATAGTAAAATTATACATAATATTGCAAAAATAAGATTCAAAAGCTCTTCAACATTCAACTATGAACGCCTAATCATTACTCTATGGTTATATAATCTCACAAATAATGATAACTAAATTATTGGTGTGATTATTGTAGTTACCAGTCCAAAAAGGAGGAGTTTTCCAGTGATCATTGTCATGATTAAAACAGTTCATTTTTTCAGAGAGACATTCACTCTCTAATTTGGCTTTTCTGCGTAATTTTCGTTCCTTCTTACGCACTCTTTCTTCCTTTATTTTCCTTCTTGCCTCTTTTGCAGCTTCCTTTTCTTCTTTATAAGGTGGCCTAGAAGTGAATATCATTTCATTTTTATGTTTTTATCCATACCGTTAATAGACAGCTTTATAACACTATTCAACAATTGAAATCCATTTCAAAGATAAATATTATTAATTTACGTATCTGCATTATTAGTAAATAAATAATGTTTTTTTTTTTTTATTATTATATATATTTATACTTACAAATCAGGTTCACAGAAACAAGTATCTCTTGGAAGTGATTGTCTATGATGAAAACTTGGGTATCTCATTATCGGATCATTTCTTCCAAAATCGGAAGGATCATTAGAAGATATCTAAAAAAAAAAATTTTTTTTATTGACCCATGCGAAATGAATATTTTTAATTTAACAAATATTTTGGGAATAATTATAGAAATGACCAACTTACACCTCTGTTTAAAGGCCTCATATGAATGTTTTGTCGACCTTGATCTTTTGAGTCAACTATGTAAGGATAATATTCATCGAGAAATCCAACTGTATGATGGTGTCGATGCCTGTTTCTTGCACGGCTTGTATAGAAGTCATCTTTCACAGTTTTATTATGTCCTAAATAGCTTGTTGATGAACTTACTACTGGCCTTTCTAATTCTAGACCTTCATTCGAGCTTTGCCCTGATGAAGTTTTGCTTTCGCTATGATTTTCATTTTCCTCACTTAAAGCGGGAGATTGAGGATCATGTATTGAACTCTTATCATAGTCATCATCTTCTATGCTATGATCATAAGCATGGTGGGGCCTTTTTTCTTTTAAATGACGTCTGATCTCCTATAAAAAAATTATATTAGATTATGTGAAAGTCTATTAATGCATTTTGTTTTAAAAATTAAGGATTAAGATTTCATGCTCAAATCTATTACCGGTAATGACATGATTATGACAATTTACATAAATATTAATTTATAATGTTAATCCCTTGCCTCTGCTAAACTGCTTTATTTTCTCTTAAAATTGCTAAATTTTGTTCTTTAAACAATACTTAGTTATAGAATTTTGATGTATTAAAGATATATAGTTGGTGCTCATGCTAAAGCCCATCATGTTCACTAGATATGTAAAGTGTAGGACTGTTGTACAATAAGTAGTTGCGACATCATCTCCAATGCTCATAACATACAGCACGATAGGAATTATCAATTTGTACATGAGGCATGGTATTACAAAATATATAAGGTACTGTGAAAGGAGAAGGGAGAGGGGTACGATAGAGCAGCCAGGAGGCCTAGAAGGTGATTTTATGGCGCAAGTTATGCCATCAAAATTTTTGTGGGGGCATATTTTGACAGGTTTTTGAATTTTTGAGGGGGGCCAATTTCGATAGAGTTATGAATTTCTGGACAAAGGGACAAGGTAATTGTATATGGTCTACGATTTTACTAATTCTACCTTAGCTTGCACTGTTTTTAAGAAAAGTTGAGCAATAAAATATCTTAGGAAGAAGGGGAGGAGGGTAGGTTCTTGCGTCATCGACTTTGGAGGGGGGGAGGGCATCATTGAGTGCACTGAATAAGCTGTGGTGGCCAGGACATTTATTTCAGTACTTTCAGGACTTTTATTTAAGTTTTGGGCCTTCCAACTCTGGCTAGAGTAGATTAGTAACCTGCAGGTTAAACTGTACTTCCTACAATTCGAGTATCATAAAGAAATTAATTGTTTGTTTGGCTAGGATTTCATCAACCCCAGATGTTATTCTAGAGGTGAGAATCCATTTTTAACCAGCATAAGCATACCAAATTACATTTCCTAGGACTATCACAAAATAAATATTAATAGACTCTGGATGGTATTGAATTCACACTTCTTTGAACTTGGGACTCTGGGACACACCCATAAGTTCAGCCTCCGCAATCTCTTAGAATTAAGTTGGTTAGTTGTAAGGTTCAAGAGATAATGTATAATCCAATTATTCTATTCATAATTAAATCCAACACTTGACTTAGCAAGAATTCTCTGCCTCCTAACTTAATCAACAGCCCAATATTAGTTGAAGTTCAATCCTAGACCATGAAGAGTTGAACCCACTAAAATTTTGAATGGCATCCATCTTTTTTTTTTATGAGTTCATTCATGTATATAAATATAGATATATCTACGTATTAGAAGATGTAAGTAGTAAATGAGATTATTACCTTAAGTTTCTCCAACTCGGACTTCAGTTTTTTGATTTGGTAATCAAGGCGGTCCCTACTGGCTTTCCAAGCTTTCAGATTATGGTATATATCATCAGAGCAGTAAACTTCTCCATTTTTTTGGAGTGTGCAATTTCCAAGCCTAGCTTTGTTTTCAATGCTTGATTCCTGACAAATAATTAAAAAATTGTTTCGTTATTTCTGATTTCTACTAATTATTGTCCTTGATTTGTTTCTAATATAATTTTTATTTATATATTCAATCAGTAAACTTTAAAACTTATGAATAAAAGTTATAAATAATTTAATAAATTGCTTCACGCTAATAATAAAAATATTTCCAATTTTATATTACAAAGGAAAATCTGGAAATTGAGCTTGATGTTCACACCACCTCATACATTATTTTGCCAAGATCCTGTAATATCTTATAAAGTATTACAACCAAGACCCTTAATCCCTTTAAATGGTCAATTTTTAATTTGAAACCATACTGAATGTGGTTACGACCATCATTACTAGTCATTTAAATACTATTTCTTTAAAAATATAACTAATGGCACTCGTGAGAGCAAAATATTTTAGTATTTTACAAGCTTAAAATATTAATGATCATTATATCAATGCTCCTGGTGATCTTGCTAATATTTGAATTAATTCAATTTATGTTAAAATGTCCTTGCTTTAAGTTAAATTCATGAAAATCAGAAGAAAATAATTTATTAGAATTAACATATTTTGTCTTATCAATCTTAACAACTTAGCTATATAAAATGAAGAAAAAGGAAATCACTTTTTAGTTCAATATTAGTACAAAAATAATAATGAAGCAAATTCTGTCATGGATGGTTGAAAATGAGTTTTTTTTTTTAATTTTAATTTTTGTGTATCCTCATAAATTTTATACAAGAATAAGATTAAATATTAAATTATTTTAGACTATGAAAAATATACCTCTAGTCCATGCAGCTTATCTTCAAGTTCGCCCATAATGGTACTCACATGACTGTCTAAACTGTCCAGAGTTGATCTCTTTACTCTTCGAGTATTCTCTAAATTATTTAAGGACTGTATTACATGTGATATCGCTTTTTCAACATCCCTGTGCTTAAGAAGACTTCTCATTGTAATAATAGCGTCTTCCATCGTCATTTCTTGACCAAATTCTGCACCAGGCGTTTGGTGTTCTGTACTGGGAGAAGATACTTTGTCACCTGTATGTGTCCTATTTTGCTCTTTGGTAACTTCTCTTTTAGATCTTATTCCTCTTGCGAGTTTTGCTCTGTATTCTTTAACATCTCTATGTATCATGCTACCTCTGAAAAAATTATAATTTGTCCTAATTACATTTTTCTAATTCAAGATAAAAAAGTTTTAAAAATGAAAAATTAATTACCTTGGATATTTGTTCATAAATCTTCTTTCATCCTGTTCAAATATGGTATACATAGATCCTGATGGAGTGAAACATGCACATTTTTTTCCTCTTGGCTGTGAGTACATTGCTAACCGCAGTTTACATTTATGCTTTCTCCATCTGAAAAAACAAAAAAAAATATATATAGCAATCCTACAGCATATACTAAGAAGTTGCAAACATTTAGTTTTGAGTCATAGTAAAAAAGACACAAGTTAAAATAAATTGTTACAAAACTTGACTGCTTATATGTATTATTGCTACTGTGATTAATTTTCTTTTATTACCTGTTACCATCCGCTAGGCATTGCCATTTTTGGCCCGGTTTACAGGGAGCTTTATATTCAGGCCTTTGACACTCTATAGCTAATCTTTCCATTTTACTGATTCCTAAAATTGGTAACAGTTGATTGTCCATTTGTCCATCATTTTGTTCCATTCCTGAAATAAATTATTTTACAATAGTTTCTTCAATTTATTAAAAGAAAAATTAATATAAATATAGTAACTTGGATAGGTGTTTGAGTTAATTTTTGTTTCCATATTTCGATATGAAAATTCTTTAAACGCTTAACTGATTTTAATTTTATAATGTATTAAAGTTGAACTGGATGGTGTTATATTTACCCTTCACTGGAAGAATTTTAATTGATGGGTTAATCGGTTCAGGAATTTCTGTTGTAGTTTCATTAATAAATGAAGACTTCTTTATTGTAGTTGGAGGTAGATCTGTTGTTGGTTGAGTAGAATCTAAAATAATTTCAGTTTGTTTTAAAATATTAGCATAAAAAAATGTTGTATTAATGACATGTTACTTTTTAATATTTTTTTAATCAAAAATGTCACATAAATGTGACAAATGAGTAATAAGTCACACTAAAGAAGTTATAACAATTTAAAATAACAAAAACAATTAGTGCTAAAAAAAAAAAAAAATTATAATTACCTTCTGAAACACTTTTTGCTGCACTGATTGTTTGATTGATGTCTTTTTCAATCTTGTCTAAAGATTCTCTCAACTTTGCCTCTGCCATCATGGATTCAGCTGTATCTCTCCTGCCGCTACTGCAAAATAAATAAAAAAAAAAGTGTATATCTTTTCATAAGATGAAGTGAATTTTATTCTTTTTATTTTGTTTATAATTAATTAATATTTTAAGCTAATATTATTAATTATTTATATAAACGTATAACAATAATTGTTGTAATCAGATTGTATTAACGGCTAAAAGTCAGCTCCAACAAATTCAGATTGCATTACATCAGTTCACTAGCATAATCTCTCATTTCACTTTAAAGATATATCTACAAAATTTTAATTAGGACTGTTTGGGAATGTAGTAAAAAGTTTTAGATACTTTATTAAAGTATATTTTTTTCATATTTTAAATTTCTTATTTATCAGTAATAATAATAAATAACTAATAACATCTATATATTTAAATTTAAATTATTAAATACAACATACTGATAAAAATATACATGCAAATTAAGATTATAATCAATCTGATTTTGTTATAATAGTTACCTTTCTATGAGAAATGTATCGGGCCATTTATTTGAGTATCTAGTTTTCGGCTTGTGTCTCCGATTCAGCAGCCTGAGAAAAGATCTACCGTCCATTTGTGGAGGTGTTTCCACTCCAGCAATATCAAGGAATGTAGGTGCTAAGTCAATGTTTAACACCAGATCGTCTATTCTGTAATTACAGAACAACTTACATTTTAAAATTTATTTCAGACATATTCTGGATTATTAGAAAGATTTATGGTTTGTTATAAGTTATTGCCATAGTAAATGCACAGTTTTGGTTCATGCTTCAATATTCTACAAACAAGTAATTTTTTTCATTCATCATATTTGCCTTTTATTTTTATTTAAACTTTTTCATGGATTTATTTCAATAAATAAATAAAATTAAAATTGGTACTAGTAGTAATTTTATAGAAATCTGGATTTTAAGTAGAAAAAAAAGTTATTTTTTTAATGATATATATTTTGTCAAAATATAAACAAAAATAATAATAAAGGGGGGGGGGGTAGGGTTCATAATATCAGTTTGAATATGCCAAATAAACATTTAAATATTTCTATAATGAATGCTCAAATTCAACTTACATGGTACCGGGCTCAATTCCAGGTCCTCGTACCAGGAAAGGTACTCTCACGTCAAACTCGAATGGGAATGACTTTCCTTTGACCAATCCAAATTGGCCGAGATGGTAACCATGGTCTGACGTGTATATAATGTAGGTGTTGTCCAGCTCTCCTAATGCTTCCAGCTCTTGGCAGACCTAAAATGGTAATGTTTATTAGTTACAGAGAAATCAAGGCAACCGATTGACATTATTATAAAATTTATTTTTATATTTAGTAATTGAGAAAAACAAAGAAAAAAAAGAGATTCTTCTCACAGTTTGAGGTTTTAAGCTTCAAGAGAAGTAGAATTCTAAAATCGTATACAGAAATCCTTACGCCATCTACGAGTTTTATTTGAATTAAGGCGATTGTTTTAAGGTTTGGTACCAAAGTCACAAGTCAACTTAGGATGTTCCACGAAACTCGACATTGCGATCTGGCACTTCCGTTTCAAAATTGCGGCCGATTAGAAATTCCGTATGTATCTCGGCCATTTATGAAGACGACGGAAAAATACAAAGGTTTATGAAATCATAATTTCAAAGACTTGACAAAATATCTAAATAAATTGTTTTCTTTTTATTAATAATAAGTTTCTTGAATAAACGAAACGATTTTTTTTTCTTTTTGAGTTCGGCCCCAATGCCCGTGTTCTGAATCGGGAACCCGTATGAAATATACGAAAGCATATTTTTTACTATAAGCTGTAGCGCTAAAAAGAATAGCAATTTCTCTAAGACCTTTAAAATATCATAAATAGTATATCCTCGATAATGGACAAAAAAAAAGAAGATGAAAACAAAATTTAATGTTGGACATAAGTAAAATTTCGGCTTCGAAGCCTCTCTCCCCTCTCAAAAGGTAAAATATAACCATGTCTTATGAAAAAAACATTAACAAATTATATATAAAAGTATTATTGTTCGTTTAAATTAAATTTAATAGGACTTCAAGAACATACAGGCGAATCTACGGGTGGGGCTTTCGGGCTGAAGCTCCCCAAAATGGTAAAATGTAACAATGTTTTATGGAAAAAAATTATCTCTTAAAGTATTATTGTTAGTGTAATTATATTAAATAAGACTTCAAGAATCACTTAAACACCATTTCATATAGGTAGTTAGTATCTTTCTTTTTTTTTTCCAAAGTAATTATCGTTATATGTATGAAAAAAAAAGCTTTCGGGCTGAGCCCCCCCCCCTCCCAAAATTAAATCCTGAATCCACTAGTATAGTTATATATATATATATATATGAAGAGAAGAAAGCTTTAGGGCTGAAGCCCCCTCCAAAATTAAATCCTGAATCCGCTAGTGCTTGAAACACCGTTTCATATAGGTAGTTAGGATCTTTCTTCTTCTTCCAAATTAATGTACATAAAAAAAAATCGGACTGAAGCCGCTTCTCCCGAAAAAAATAAATCCTGTGCTTAAAAAAAATTAAATTCGTTAAGTTAAATCCGCTAGTGCTTTGTACATATATTTTTAAAAGTTTTGCACATGCACCCATAAAAAAATTTACCTTTGTGTACTTTGATGATTGGAAATCTATACAAATTTGGTATTGAAATTAAACTCTCTACAAAACTAAGCATTTGAACATTAAATTAATCATAATCGGATCAATATTAGTTTAGACATAGAAAACATTTTTTTATAGAAAACATAGCGGTACGAAAAGTCCTGTGATTGGACATATCAGATATTTCTGATACATAATTATTTGTATAATAATAATAAACCAGCGTACTATAGTCTGTAAACCTTCTCTTAATATAGCAAAAGATCAAAATGAGGTGAGAGAAATTATATATATTTTGACTGCGAGACCTATACATACATAAATGCATGGTCGGTGCCAGAAGTGCAAAGCCATGAATAGAGATTTCTATAGACATGGAAACTAGTCAAGAAGAAAAGTGATGTAACCACGGCGAATGTTTAGGCTACTGCCTCGGATGTTTTGGTCCGCATAAAAAGCACATTATTCCAGGAACAGATTCTTTTTGGGTTCTCATTTGCCTCTCATTAGAACATCTATATAAAGAGCCACGAAGAGTGATGTTTAGTCTCCTTCGAGTCAAAGGACACAAAAGGCTCCATATGTTTCCTTTGGCCTCATCCGACAGCTGCTTCGCTTTTCTTAACCGCGACGCTTCTTTCAACTCTGGTTTCTGGAATACAAATTAGCGATCGCTCAGTTAAAGAAACATTACCAGTTGAGCTCTTCCATTCTTGTTGATTTTCCTCGACAAGAATGAAGTTGAGGTCACAGCTGATGGAATATTTACAAACTTCAGCTCCGGTGAAACAAAGACTTATATAGTCTTCTCAGTGATTGCTTCTATGGTTTTGACAACACATGAAACTTTGAAAGCTATTAAGTAGATTGTTTGAGTACCTTGAATCTATATAGCGATAGGTAAGGTTATATATTTTATTATCATAAAAACCTGCCAGCAAGTATATCGGCAGGCCTCTTGATAGGTTACCTATCAACTGTCTATCGATGCAACTTGCCAGTTGGAATGCGTATTTCAGTTGTAAGCTAGGCAATCTACCAAATGGGATGGTAAAACTATATTAGCAAAATATTTTTTCAAATTACCTTTCCCACAGCGTCATCAACACTCTGCAAAGTCTGAAGTCGCTTGGTCATCAGGAGATCCGTGAACTGTTTGTGTATCGGCTGCATTCGACCAGTCACTTTGAGAATCCACTGCTTGTCTGGATTTGGTGCGTAGTCGTACGATGGTGTACTGCAACAAAAAAATATATGATAAATATTGCTTGCTATATATGTTTTTCTTCATGGGGATCTTATTATATATTAAATAATGTTAGAGTAAACATTATTCCTATTTCAAGATTAAATTAAGTAGCGACTTATTTTATTCAGGAAACAGTTCTGAGTTCTGATCTAAATTTAAATAAAGTAAACAAAGGCGTTCTGGGACCTACAGCATGGAGCACATATAGAAGTGTTGACCACAAACTCTATAAATTCTCTAGCTACTAAAATATTTGCTCTAACTTTCGAAAAACTTGCATCTCTACCTTTATTTTTCCTCATCTCTAATCTTTCTTAGATAAATATTGTTAAGTGTAATAGTATCAACACATAAATAGTAGCATTGTTTTAGTGATCGGATACCATAAACATGAGAACAATCAACACATCAGGATTACAAAAACACAAGATGGAGTTTCAACAACGTACGATCAAAAGATAAAAGTGAAAACAAACTGTACCACTACAATCCATTGAGGGTCTTGGGTTCAATATTTCATATAGAAGTACTATTTTAAGGCCAACGGTTGTTCAGGGTAGAGATTGGGCCAAGATCACGCTAAACCGCCAAGTTTCCCCAATCGCTTTTAATTATTCAGTTAAGATTAACACTTAATTGAGGCTGGGTGCACAGGCGGATCTATGGAGGGAGGGGGGAGGGTTTCGGGTTGAAGCCCCTCCCTCCCCCCAAAAAAACCGGTAAAATATAACCATGTTTTATAAAAAAATATATTAAAAACTATCTCTTAAAGTATCATTGTTCATGTAATTACATTTAATAGGACTTCAAAAACACTTGGCCTAATGACCAACGACTGGCATAAGAGAGAAAAAAAAAGAAAAGAATCACTTAAACACCCTTTTAATGTAGGTAGTTAATTGCTTTCTTTTTTTTTTTTTATTAATTATTGTTGTATATATGAAAAAGAAAATCTTTCAGGCTGAAGCCTTCCCAAATTATTTCCTGGATCCGCTAGTGATGGGTGTACCCTAGGAGGGTCGTCAGATCCCAAGTTCGACTCATGGCCGATGTAACAAAATAAATAACTATCTGCCAGATTCGGATTCGAACCTAGGACCTTCAGTATAGGAGCCTAACGCCTTACTCATCTAAAAAAAAGATAAAAGTGAAGCAAATAATAAGATGAGTTATTGCTACAATGCAAGATGAAAAATTAAGAACGTACTACCATATGCCTACTATATATGATATATATGCCAATGGACCAACCGATCAAAAAAAAAATCATAGGATTTGGAAGTTTTACAATTTTTTTGTGAACTCCTACATCTTCTGGTGGGGCAAGATTTCGATTTCTAAGGGTGATTAAAGCCTTATTAATTGGCCCGAAGGGATATGAGACAAAGTGGTCTATCAACCCTTGGTTAACTAATTCCCCTCACGTCCACATTGATGAAGCAGCTTTGGCAAGGAATCTCTCCAGTCACGGTTCGGTTTGTTTTCTTCCCATCTCCACCCTCCCCTCCCCCATCCTGTCTTATTTGTCAGCATTCAGCTCACTTAGCTCTTATTTATCTTGCCTCTACTCACATTTAAGTATAAAACATAGCGAATTGGACTTGCTGTCAGGCATATTTGGTTTGTTTTTGTCCTCAGAATTTTCTCTCGCGATATACTTTTTAAACGTGAAGAAAAACAATTTGCTCTATATCTGTCCGTATTCAACTCAATGCGATGAGCATGCAACTCAATATTATCAATTCGATTTTGATGAAATTTTCTGGGAGTATGCGCGTTGGTATCAAGATGGTACCGTATCTCATTTGACTTTTTATATTGACTTTAAACTTACAGGTAAAGTTGGAGTTTCGTGAAAAATTGCGCTACATCAATTTTATAATATTCCACCCACTACTAATTTTCTGCGATAAAACTTTTCTATCTCTTTCAGAATTTATTGGTAAACGGATAGAAAATTAACCGAATATTGCTTAAAAAACAATCATTTTTCAATAATGCCTGTTGTTTGTCGAGTGAAACAGGTAGACAAAAACACGAATGCTGGAGACTTATTCCAGCTGAGCACGCAGAGCATGTGCTGACCACTCTAAAACCATTTAGGCCTGAGATAGCCCTTCACTCAGGGTACATTCACCGCTATCATTCCTTCCAACATTTTAAACAAGGCATTCTTGTATATTTAAAAAAAAATATATAAAATAAAAAGATAATGTAATTATTATATATTTTTTTAAAATGTTAAATGCAAGTAACTGGTTTATTATTGGCAATAACTTTTCATGATATTGTAGTTATTATTTTTTTTTCTGGCATGAGTTAATAGACATCCTATCAAAGTCTATTATTTGTGAATATTTAAATATTTCATTTCATATTTTACGAGAGGCAAAACATTGATCATTCTCATGTTATGATTTCTTAACCTTCGTAAAATCCTTAATGTTCCTTAGTTTCCAATTTGGCCCAATCCACATACCTATCCTTCTATAACAAACTTCAGGACCATCCGAAGAATATCGTTTCAAACCTTGTATCCTCGATCCCTGATAACTCTCCAAGGCGTCTGAAAAGAAGGTGGCCTCGTGATTTTCTTATGTAAATTTATTATTAGACTGCTATCAGTGAGTAGTTTCTCAACAAGCATTTTCATGTTATTATATTCCTGAGTGCAAATTTACTAATTGTATTTTTATTTTAATACAGTTGTAAATATCATGAATAAATAAATTTAAAAAAAAGGAAGATTTCTTGGCACTTTCTGCATCTCCTACAACATTATCTAATTTTTCTGAGGGAAGTGCTTATTTTTTCCAACTGAGGTAGAAGATAATATTCAAAATTATGGATCAATAATTGGATTTGGTGAAGGAATAACAAAAATATAGCGTAAAGACAAAAAAAACTTTGAAAATAATATTATAATATAGGTAATAAACTGAGATATTCCTTTATGTATGGCATTCTATACCCCTCTCTCCACAATGCAGTGAACACTGTTGTAATATTACACCTTCCCTCTTCCAATATTTACTAAGTGATGAATGTGTGTGTAATATCTAATATTCGCATTATAAATTATATTTATTAAATTAAATCACTAATAATCAAATAAGTGCACAATAATATGGCCATTGATGATTTTTAGCGGCTAATATTAAGGGCACGAAGGAATGTAGCACAAAGGATAAAGGATTTTATTACGCGAAGAAAGAAGAGAAGGATGGAGTGGCATTTGACAATCTTGATGACCGTCCTTGAGCCGAATATGAGAATCTCTTCACGGCTGATGAACCATTCAAATCGCAATAAACGATTGAGACCGACAACGAGGTTGGAAGGCCGCCGGGTTAGAGGCCTGGCACAGTAGTCTTATATCATTACCATCCTATTATATCATAATATATTTTTCTATCTTAATTTATTTCATATTGCTCACGTTAAAAATACGGGAATTACTTCGCTATTTTCCTATGCAAACTTGTTAAATTTATGTTAATTATTGTTTATTTTATGAACATTATTTTTTCATGGATTATCATTTGATTGTGTCACCTTATTTAAATAATGGATGGGATTTTAGGATCATGAAAAAAAAATTAAGTTTTCTTATTCTTCTAAAACTAAGAGGCTTGGTATAAACCAGATTCACGATTACAGCCACCTAGTTACCCATATCTAAATAATTAATCGTAGCCATTGATCAATAAATATTGGTTTTCTAATACAAGTATTTTATTGGAATAAGCACTCAAATTAGTCCAGTCCACGAGCGGTTCTACGGGGAGAGGAGGGCTTACGGGCTGAAGCTTTCCCCAAAATGGTAAAACATAATCATGTCTTATGAAAAAAATATTTAATAATTACCTCTAAAAGTATTATTGTTCGTATAATGACATTGTGATAGTACTTAAAGAATCACTTTAACTCAATTTCATACAGGTAGTTAGTTTCTTTCTTTTTCTTCCTAAATAATTATCGTTATATATTTTTTAAAAAATCTTTCGGGCTGAAGCCCAACCCCCAAAACTAAAATTATAATTGATGTAACTTTTGAACCATTGAAGAAGAACTATAAAAATCATATATATTCTTGGAGAAAATGTAATTATTAAAAACGTCCTTCTCCATAACTTAATCGTAGAATGAAACAGTGAAAAGTTCGCTTGTCAAATACAACAAAAAGATGTGGTAAATTTCTTCCCACATTAGCGATATATTAAAATATATATATATTTTAAAACTTTTTTTAATTCTCAGAATTGACATATAAAGTTATATTAGATCTAACGTTTGAACCGTTGAAAGTGAACTAGTAAAATAATATATATAATAAGTTCACTCTTCTAATATATTTCTTTATCACTTGACTTCTATAACTCAAATTTATGCGATTTGTTTCCGTAATTATTATCGCAGAGTTCGGAGAATTGTACCACAATTGTGAACTTTCACCAAATGTGTGAAAACTTTGATTTTGTGGTCTTAGTTCTTTTTTTTAAATATATTTCACATTTATTTACAATGATCAAGGCAGTTCGGGCGAAATCCATATTATATTGTTAAAAGGAACGTTATTGGTGTTTCTATAAAATAAAAAAAAAAGTAATGTTTAGAATAAACTACAAATGATCACACCCTAAATAATTATTCCGACCTCAAAACAGTGATTATTTTTAATAATTCGTCAGGGGTGTTAGCGGTGCAGATTCGGTCACGAAAGAGAAACAGAAGGTCGTTAGCCTGAGAAATGATTTGAACGCCCTTTGAATAAACGTGGGCATGTACAAGGGTCGTATATTTAACTCGCCCAATTAAGACAGGAAACTTGAAAGAATAAACTCATCCTTCTGAAATAGCAGATTTCTAAATAGGATTTCCTGACTTGGCCGGGGTCTGGAAGACTGGTGGATACGCCCACGCT